CCTTAGGTGTACGTGGCTGGCGCCTTAGCCGGTTGAGCTATAGGCGCCGAGCCAAGAGTTAAGTTTTAAAGTAATGATTTGCAAGGATGGGAGACGGGGAGAAATGTAATCTTTTTTAAACATATACAAATATACTTGTCATTTTTCTAACATGAATTTCAGAGAATAATGCACTACCAAATTTTCAACTAAAGTTGACACCAGAAAGCTGAGTGAGCAAACTTTTTAAGTGGCACTGATTCAAATTCATTGAGAACCCAGGGATTAGGACATTTATGTTTAAGCTGGCTCACATCATGGATGCATGAATTTACCAATCCAAGGGTTTCTGGTAAGGAAGACAAAGTGAAAAAAAAATGTTTTAGTAGAGCCAGGGAGCCCCTAAAGAAAAAAGATTGACTCTGTCTCTACGAAAAAAAAAAAAGGAAATAAAAAAGAAAAACATGCTATTGGGTGGCGCCTGTGGCTCAAAGGAGTAAGGCGCCAGCCCCATATGCTGGAGGTGGCAGGTTCAAACCCAGTTCCAGCCAAAAACTGCAAAAAAAGAAAAGAAAAAAGATTGAGTTTCAAGTGTGGTTTGCTAACCTCACTCATGTCCACCAGGTTGTTTTTATGGGTGATTCTAACTTAAGGAGACTTTGGTTTCACATGAGCTGGCTTCAGGGCAAGTATTCCACAAAGGAGATGAGTCCATGGAACGAACGCTACAACTCACTGAAATGGAGTCTTCACTTTGTGCCCTGGTCACCATGTTTGTAAATCACAAGGTTCTCTGGTAGTCAGACCTAAAGTCTGACAGAAGCAAATAGGCTGGCACCTGATACATGACTACCTAGTTTTCCCATCTGTCACATTACTGCATAGGACTCCCCATGGAAAGGTGTGAGAATGTGACAGCTTACCAGAGAGATGGAGTCAGAGTGAATGCCTGAAACAATGCAAAGCATACTCAACCATGACGCCTTCTATCTTCCATGTACATTTTTTCTGATTATAAAAAGAAGTCCCTCCACTCGGTGCCTGTAGCTCAGCGGCTAGGGCTGGCAGGTTCCAACCCAGCCCAGGCCTGCCAAACAACAATGACAACTACAGGGTTAGAACCTACCAGCCCTGCCAAACAACAATGACAACTACAGCAAAAAAATAACTGGGTATTGTGGTGGGTGCTTGAAAATTTTCTCCTTTAAGATCAGTGTTCTTGGCTCGGTGCCTGTAAGCTCAGCAGCTATGGTGCCGGCCGCATACAGCTAGGATGCCAGCCACATACACCAAGCCTGGGGGGTTCGAATCTGGCCTGGACCGGACCTGCCAAACAACAATGACAAGTACAAAAACAACAAAATAGCCAGGCATTGTGGTGGGCACCCACCTGTAGTCCTAGCTACTTACTTAGGAGCCTAAGGCAAGAGAATTGCTTAAGCCCAAGAGTTTGAGATTGCCGTGAGCAGTGACGTCATAGCAGTCTACCAAGGGTGACGTGGTGAAACTCTATCTCAAAAAAAAAAAAAAAAATCAGTGTTCTGGGGCCTTGGATAATTACGGATGCCTCCTTCTTCCAGGAAAGATAGGACTTGATCCTGGTGAAATTTTAGAACACTGAGACACAGCTGGCCAGTGTTCTTACTAGTTACTCTAATTAGTTTCTCTAACTAGCTCATTTCTTACCAGCTTTTCTGAGGAACTGTTCTGCTTCTGGGAGTTGGAGGCTTCCAGGGGCCCGCCCCTGTCCTCCTGATATACCCCTTATGACTTACTCTACTGCAAAAGTCAATGAACATTTCCTGTTAGTCAAACAAGGAATAAGAAGGAATGTCCAGGCC